CTTACTCTTATGTAACTACCAATTCATGTTACTCATTCTCATGTAAATACCAATTCTTCTCCTTGCAACTGTTCTTATACATGTGAATATGAATCTTGGTTCAGGTCTCAGTAGTTAATGCAGCTGAGCGTAGAGAGAGTACTAATCATAGAGAGAATACTAATCATATTCACAATACTAATCATATGCCTTCGTGTCTTACATGAAAAATCTTCCAAAGGTTTATTGTTATGTTCAAGAACTATTACCGCTGAGAGAGCAGAGACTTTGCTCTTTTGTTTGAGACATGGTTGCTGAGGATTATCTCAAACATCATTAGATATATACAAGAATTCTGTAAAATAAGGTAAACAAACTGGAGAAAGCAAAGTATTTAATTTTGATTATAATAAGTACTAGACACTAACCAGAGTAATATTATTGATGTTGTGTTCGCAGGATGTTATAAAAGCTATGTTGGAGGGCTATTCAAGAGTGTTTCAAGGTTTAGCTTTTAACATAGTTGCTTGGAATGATCCTATATATTATCTTTGTATACAAAGCCATGAGTCGTAGTGAATAACTTCTTGCAGGTTTTCCGCTTTACTTATATGTTTATTCTGTTTCTTTTGGTCTCATAATGCATTTAGTAAACCAAATTCTGATCCCATATTACATACAACAACGTTCCGTCCAGGTGGTGTGACCAAAATACGAGATCTTAAAAAGCCACTCATACTCAAAGACATCCTGTTTTAGTTTTCTTATGAGCCCTCAATAATTGAAACAGTTTTTAAAGCACCACGAAACTTTCGCGTGATGTGCTCCTGAGTTAACAATTGCTTATACATACTTCTCTTACTCTCTTTTCTAAGTTAATCAAGAAACAGAGTTCCAGAAGCGAAAAGCACAGTTTGAACCACAACTCAAACAAATAAGTACTAGACTTAGGTTTCAGAGAAAAGACAGGTAAAATATGCATAATCAAAACTGGTAGTTGAGCTGCAGAGACAAGAAGCAATTCTTGAGGAGAACGCAACAAAAAAAGGGACAAAGTTACAGAGACGTAAATCACAACTTTAGTTGCAACTCAAACAGTCAAAATCTAAGATTCAATATTGAAGAAGAAGCAAAGGATCAAAGACGATGATGCAGAAAAACATGTAGTTGAGCTCAAGGAAAAAGGCCTAACTTGAGTTGGAATCAAACGATCAAAATGTATGATCCAAGAGTTAGAAGATTCACTGGTGAATGAGTGACATGGACAGAGGTATTGCTTTAATAGCAATTTGAGAATTTAATAAAAACTATAATCGAAGAACTGAAAAATTGGCAAAAGGTAGTAGATGAATACAAAGAGTTGGTTCTTGCATGGTATTTGGAGATATCACATTAAAAATCATTATATTTTTAAAAGAATGTAAAAAATTCAACAGTGTAAATTGTTTAGACATGAAATTCCACAAATAAATTGAACAGTAATTATCCTTATTTTATTTTAGTTATGTCAAAGTGAACCTCCACTCCAATTTATTGAAAAATGTACATTATACTAGGCATATGAACCAAGAACCAAACCAAATCAGAATAGGAAAAAAAAACTGAATCCAAATTTGAATTGATTTCACAAATAACCAAACGATTCAAATACCTATGGAATCAGAAAATCTAAACCGAATCCGAACCGAGAAAAAATTCAATATTTTTTAAATCGCTACCTATACACTCGCTACCTGAAAAAAAAAAAGAATTATATTGATATTTTATACAAAATCTTTTAAAACTATCCTAAATACCGGAAGAACCTAATTTCCCGAATCATTTATATCTAAGTTGACCTCAATTATCCGATATTTAATCCAAAATAACTAAAAACTCATATATAAATCAGAATTATCAGAAATTATCCAAAAATCCAGGACCAAATTGAACCAAAATTGTATCAGATATTTGTCTATTCATAACATTGTTACCTAAACCAAACTGGAACCGGCGAATTTTATATATATAAACATGGTTCAAATGGTTCATATATTTGTAAAATAGAAAAATGAAACTGAAAAATGAAAAAATTATGAAACCAAAATGAGAAAAAAATGGGTTCCCGATTATTCAAAGTATAACTTATAGACCTAAAGTTATCAATTATAATTAATTTTAAAATTACCAAATATTTTAAAAACACTACTTATTAACTGAAATGCAAGAAACAAACAAATTATGCAAATGCTTTTTTTATCAGAAATTTTTTTAAATTATTTCAATTACCCAAAATAATTATCCAAACAATTTATATCTAAAATATTTAAATTTATTTGAATTACCCGATTTTTAATCCAAAATAACTAAAAACTGACTTTTACTTGAACTTCAAAATTATAACACCACAACCAAACCAGCACCGTGGTGAAACCAATATTTTATCGGTTTGAAACCAACCTAAATCCATAACCAAGTCAAAAAATACATTCCATTTATAACCTGTAGGAGAAGGATTAACTTGATTCACTTAAAAGTAATAAAACAATAAATTTATGGAAGTACACAAAATTCAAATTAAAAGTTGTGTTCATTTTCACAACCATTTTAATGAAATTCAAATTACATACAATAAAAATCATATATCCAAAATGAAACTTCAAGTTAATAATTCAAAGTCACATTTGTCGCACCATTGTCAAATAATTCACCGAATAAAAAAAGAAACATGTCTATCTATAACCATGAAAAGAACTAATTCAAACACCAAATCAATAAATACATTCAATCAAACCTAGCAGTTGTTAGATGCAATTTTTTAATGTGCATCAAGCATCAGAACCTCAAAATGACAATGATACTTAAGCCAAAATCCCAGAACATGTAATTTCATACAAACAAATGATCCAACAACTTAAATCACACAAATAATTTCACCTCAACACTAACCAAAGTAAAATTCCGCACGAAACGTGGACCGGTCCTAGTAAACTATATAGATAACTGACAAATATCTATTAGGTTTATATAAATTGTTCCTAGGTGAAATGTTTTCGGTTAACGTTTGAAACACTAAAATCAAATGTCACAATTCTAATTCCGTTTGGTCATCATGTATATTTTATTAATTTGTTTTCTTTTATTCTGACTACGTTGGAATAAGAAAATTCAGTTAGGTAACCAAACGAACTGATGAAGTGGACATGCAACTTAATGTTGATTTCATTTAAATGCTCATTGCCGGATATAGTAACTGAATTTGAAAAACGAAACACAAACCGTAATACCTAAGCATATTTAGAATATGTTGCAAGTTATGTTCTTAAAATAGTAATTATATTCGCATTGTGTACATTTTTTGATAATTACTTTTACACCTCAAAATTAAATAACCAATTAATCTAATGTTTGCAATTTCATTCTTGGCATGGATATAGTTCAATCAGATACTAAAAAGTTATGCTCTAGACTTCAGATTTAAAAATTAAACCCAACATTTAAAAACTAAAATATTGGATTGTTCCACAGTCTTCTTGGCAACGATTTATTAGATGACAATGTCAAAATGATGCCATTACTTGAAATTGGTTTTTCTAATTCATAGGTTTTGGAAGATAGGACATTATTTCCCTTCCAGAAGTAAATGAACTGATCAATAAAAAATGGTATTTAGAGAAGATAAGATGTAGTAGAGCGGATGAACCGAAAACAATGAATTAAACAAGAATTGAATATCATCACTTAACAACAGATCAGATTCAACAAAAGGTTAGTAAAGTAAAGCCACGAGGTGGATGTGTTTCAGTAATAATGTGAATGCCAAAGTGGAAGTGCAAAAAAAAGAATGTTGGCTTGATTCAAATATACTCACAAGAACCGCATTTGGCTAATATCTACGCTTGAGTTAGCTTTCCTTGATATAATGCATAGTATGGTAACAAGAAAATATTATTGGCTAGGTGATTTCAAGATAGGTTACATGTGTTGGACGCAAAAAAAATAGACAGTGCATGTATGAATGATCGTGAAGAAGGAATGGCTATAATTTCAGTATTTAAAATATAGATTTTCAAAACCAAAATACCATTTCATAAGAAAAACTATTGCAGCTAATACCAAATAAATAGGACAATCTGATATAGCATAATTTATTTTCTGAGACATACATTTCTCCCTCTGTAACTTTTGTATGACTATAAACTACATTTATGATACTAATTAATAGATAAAATCCAGTATACTAATGTAAACTCTTATGCATGAGCAAATGCTAATTCGATGAAGACTATTGTTAATTGGTAATCGCGATCATTTATAAAAGAAGTCTGCAGGTACCTTTTACAATAATCTCTTTTTAGGATTTTCATATTAATAATTGATAAACATATCAAGATCGACATATAATTGATACGTCAGTGCAATAATCTCACGTCGCTATATCTCACTGTGTTGGTTCCAAAATTCCAATCAAGAAGTAAAAAGTTATCTAAACCCACAAGAGTGGTTGAAAACAAAATAGCAGGACCGAGTTGGTCCATCCAATTTCCCTCCAGATGTAGAAAACTATTTTCTTTGAAACTATTATTATCCCTTTAAGCAAACAATTCAGTGTAATAAAAATGGAGAGGGCATGAGAAGTGTTTTTTATATAACAAAAATAATATTTCAAATGAAAAACATTTGAGAGAAAAATTAAAGTAAAACAATTGTGGGCCATCATTTTACTTCCACTAACATTATTCCAAAGTTATAAAAATATATCTGTCCCATTTTTTCTCTCTTGTCCAATCAAAATATGCATATCAACACATTACTCTCTTTAATTCATGGAATCTAATTATTCCTTTTCAAAAAATAGAATAGCTAAATAAAGGAAGAAACAAAAGCTCCTTTTCGTCATAATTAAATCATCTTTCTCCCTCTCTGAATCAATGAAGACTATGCATTATAGAGCCCTGCATTATTTTATAACGAATATCTTAATCTATCTTTTATACATACTATTATAACAGAAGCAAAAAAAGACTACATATGTTTTGAAGGTAAATCGTGTGAAAAGAAAATGCAAGTCAAATCTCAATAGCTCTTTCATATTCTCTGTAGTTACACATTATTTTATATGATTAGTTATTAATCTTCAAAAATATGAAATGGGAGAAACACTTTTCACTCGTCCATTAGTTGATCTTCCCTCTTCGTGTAAGATGCTAGTGATTCTTATCAGCAAATCAACGTATATAAAGGTTAATAAAAATATACGTTAACCAACATCTAATATATCAATCTATCTAAAAGTCCCACCAAATGTTGGAGTCCAGAAATCTACTGTAGTATCGTGTGTCACTGGAAACGTGCTTGAAACTGGCACTAAGCATAAGCCTCGACTTCTTAGATCTGGCTCTTCTGTGTCTAGCTCTTTAGGATGATCACTCTGCATCATTGGTAAACAAAAAAGCAAATTAACTTCAATAATTCCTCTTTAACTGCAAAAGCAATTGCCACATTGTTTCTTTGGAATAATGAATTGTCACATCTTGAAGATGAAGCAACTATTAAATATATACACATAATAAATAATACGAACGAGACCCATGCTTTAGTTCAACTGTACAATAATAATAACAGTATAATGTACAGAATAGTTATATCTAAAATTACCTGTTGATGCTGTAAAGAAGCTCCACTTTTCATGTATGGGTTGCTCAGAGCCTGAAGTATAATCATTTGCAGGTTTGTACATCAGTAGAAATACAATAACTAACTAATAATATTGTAGCAAAAAGAAACAGAAAGTTATGTACTATAAAAACAAGGGATGGGCTTTACTTACAGAAACTTGTTGGTGTAAAAACTTAATGTATTCAATGGCTTCAGAGAGCACTGAGGCTGCGTCAGTCTGACACAAAACCACATGAGATTCAGTAAAACAAAATCTAAGAATTGTATTTCATTCATCATCCTCAAAAATAATATTCAATAATAGACTTTAAATAATATATTTCAAAAAGAAAGATATAATAGTATGATAACTAATAATGACAGTAGACAAATATACTAATACACACTCATCATCTTTCTGAAAGCTAAAGCAAAAAATTGCAGAGTTAGAGAGAGAGTACCTTTCCGAAAGGTGAAACCAATTGTTGGAGCGCAGCGATTCTGTCCCCCATTTTCTCTTTCCTCACCTAATTCAGCAAAAAATATATTTTAATATACTTAAGTAGAAAACTTAAGAAATCTTGTAATTAGGCATGCAAGAATTTGGGGAAGAATGTTTGCTTTATTGGTATAACTGCTAATTTTCTGGAAAAAAATATAGTTATGAGTTGTCTAAATCCAAAATCTGTTGGATGAAATGATAAATCCTAATAAACTTGTTTAAATTAGGGTTTGGTTTTGATTAACAAAAAGATTCGTTTTTTTATCTTTGACAAAACCAGGGAAATATTTGTATATTTAAATCCGTTATAAAAATATCAATGTGCATAAAGATGCCTTTATTAGAGTCCCAAAAAAGAAGCTTTTATTATTTTTATCTTTAATAATAAAAGCAAAATATACCTTGAAAGCTGGTGAAGGAGACGCTGCTTCGCTCTTAGCCCTTTTAGCCGTCGGTTGATCTCCTCCTCCGCCTCTCTTTACTTCACTGCTACTAGAATCTCGAACCTCTGATAATATACTCTGCGACGAAAACAGTTCATATATGTATATATAAAACATATGTAAATATAACTCATGCAGCTATATAATAATATTATATATAAACCTTGGGTTGGTCGTCAAAACTCGGTGGATGTATCTGCGGCGGCTGTAACGCCGGGAAAAAGTTTGAAGACGCGTCATGTTGTGTAGGACCCACGTTTCCAGCCGTCGCCGCAGGGTTCCAAAACGTTGCGTTGTTAGAGAATCTCAAAGGACTGTGTGGTTTAGGCGGCGAAGATCTTAAAAACCAAGACGAAGGTAACGGCGTCGCCATATGGTCGTAGTTTCCGGTGGTGGAACCGAACTGAGAGTAACCAAGATTTGACTGCTGATGATTCCTCGACGGTTGCTGGTCGGAAGAGCCAGGCAGATTATAGCCTTGTTGATGGAACATAGCTGAAGATGAGTTAGGTGTTGTTGCTGCTCCGTACATGGTGTTGGTCGAGTTGTCAATAGAGAAACCTTGACATGTTACTGTGCTACTGTCGGTACTTGAGCTCCCATGAGGACTGAACTGATGGTGGTCTGAAAAGAACCCGCGGTTGCTGCCCGTCATGTTTAGCTGCGGTTTGTAGTCGTTATTATTGATAAGTGGGTCTCGCCACAAAGCTTGGTGGTGAGAGGAATCAGATTCTTGAAGCTGATAAGACGTTGTGGATGACGTTGTGTTAGCGTTTGCGTTTGAAGTCGCATCTAAATTGAGATTCTCTTGAAGCATCACTCCGAAGCTTGTCTCCGCTTTACTATCTCCTCTTCTTTTGTTCCCCGCAACGAAAAAAAAACAAAGGACAAACATACACAATCTTTAAGTTTATTGTTACACAATGATTTGAAACCAAGATTAAAGGAAACAATTTGAAGACTCACAGGAGAGATTGATTCCATTGATCAACAGGTGATTGTGAAGAAAGCCCTAGACCAATCATCTGTAGATGGTGATCAGTAGCTAATGAATGATGATCTTGATGATGAAGCTTATCATGGAAAACAGTGGAACCACCAGATTCATTTGAGTTTGCTCTCATCGAAGAGGAAGAAGATATTGAGGACGAAGAAGATACTTTCCACCAGCTTCCAGAGTTGATGAAATCATGATGATCTCCCATTGCTCTTTTTTTTTGCTAATCACTATGTGTGTAGTATATATATATATATATGTTGGTGAGGATCTTTATATGTTGTGTCTTCTCAGATTGTGCTTCACATGAAATGATGATGAGGATCCACACGAGAGAGATACTTATAGTTGTAAATATTGATGTATTTATATTGGATATTTTCTTTTCTCTGGTAGGGTTTTCGTTAACTATTTATGAAGACATCCGATTAATGTTTGGTTGACATTTTTCATCTCGCTGACTCCTTTGCCCACGTCATACTCAACTTCTACTTCTTTTTTGTTTTCTCAAGAAGAATGTTTAATTTATATTGGTTGTCTTTTCTATTTAATAATTCAAAGAATACTAGTAGTTCATTTATCCTACTTTTATTCATTTGTTATCTTTTGGTAAAGTTTCCTTTACCTATTGTAGATAATACACAATGTAAGAATAGTTAAATCACCTCCTCTTATTAAACCCAAACACACCGTTCTATATTGGTATCACAGCCTTTGGCATTTAGATCTTCGATTCCGCTCAGTTTGGTTCATTTTATTCGGTTTTTGGTTATCTGGTTCTACATATATAAGATTTGTTTGGATATTTATAAAATGTAGTACAGTTATTTTGATTTGCTTTGGTTTGGTTTTGTTTGGTTTGAATTACAAGATTGAGAAGCAGCTAATTAATATCCATGAAAATTTTGGCTTCAATTATGTTTGATTCGATTCTGATTTTTGGATAACCTTGGTTAATTTGTATAAATTGTATGGATACTTTGGGTTTTTAAAAAAAAAATCAGTTCCATATAAAATATCGGGTAGTTTGACTAATATGCAATATTTCAAATAAAAAACTTCTAGATTATTCTTTTTTTTGAATAATTTGTATTTTTAGATATATAAATTGTATTTTCAAAAATTGGGAACTATTTGATTTTGAATTTGATTTCAATTTTCAATTCAAGAGATCCATGATCCGTTTAGATATTTATGAATTTTGGTATAGTTCGGTTCCGGATAATTATATGTAATGGCCTAATTTCATTTTTTAATGGTATAGATTCGTAATGATCTTTTAGTTCTTTCTCTTTAGGTTTTGTCGTCTTATATCATCATTTATACATATATTATCAAATATATATATAGTATTGTAAAGTAACAATTTTATTAATCAAGCGATGAATATTTGAAACACATGAATACACTATAAGCGTTTTTTTACAAACGACTCCGTAAGGAACATTTTCATCAGCATCATGAGTATACCTTAGATATGAGTATACGTAACAGACACTTACATGTTCATAATAAACAACTTTATAGTTAATACTTAGACCACCACGAACAACTCTCTCCACATCTTTCATGAAATGTTAAGTAAATTTATATCCCCTGATATGTACTATTCTCTCTGTTTTGGTTTAATTGTTGTAAATTTTTTGTTTTAAAACAAATATCATCATTATAGAATTTTGATGCAAAATAATTAATTTATATGATATATAAAAATTTTATCTTCTAATTTTTTTTATTAATTGAAATATGATTATATGCATAGTTAATAGTGTTTTTGTTTAGAAATATACAAAATTAAATATTTTTTTTTTAATATGTGTTTAAAAAGCCAAAATGACAATCAAACCATCTAGTTTAAAGAACTTTGCATCATATGCCAACTACTTGATCAAAGAGTTCTTTTTCTCGTCAACTTCAATTCATTCAGTGAATGAAACGGAATCTAAAAAGTTTAAAATATTATTCCCTCTATCATAAATTAAATGGCGCCTCTACCATCACGTTTAGAATGATTTGAGTTAAAAGTTAATTAAATACAATAGTTTTTTACAACTAAACAAACTGTTAATTAAATACAACAGTTTTTAACAAGTAACAAATTGACTTTGTGATACGTATAAAGATAAAAATAGAAGCGAGAAGTTGACACGGAATTTGACTTACTAGTTTAAAGGAGTGACGGACTGACTAGACCAAGAAACGCGTCACCGTCACCTTCACGGTCACAATCAGAGTCACAGACCATTGAAGATATGTTTATTTCAGTATCTGCCGTTTGGCTGTGATCTTCACCGTTATATTTTTCCGGTTACATCAAGTCAACGAGTGGGCTCCACGTGGCGTGCGCGCGTGCTTTAGCATCTGGACCCCACTTGTTCCGTCTCGGAGTCAGAGCCCGAATGTGACACTTCGTTTCTTCTTTTGTTCGGAATCTTTTTCTTAAATCTTTAATTAACAAAATTGTAGTATTCTCTTATGGCTAAAAACAAATACTATATAAAATAATTTTGATAAAGAAATATTATTTTATTTTCAGCATTTAAGTAAAATAATTTTTATATTTTAACTTTTACATTTTTAAAATAAATATTATTTTAATTGTTCAACTTTTGTATTAGCTTTTGAAATATTATTATTGTAAAACCAAAAAAAAAAAATCTAAAACAATTTTCTATATAATTAATAGTATTGATAGTTCAATCCGATTTCTTTATCCTTGTTTTTAGCGGTCCTCTCTCTAATCATTTCCTTTTGCCTAACATTGGTCTCTATACGCTCTCATTTCTAATATCAACCAACCAGTACGACAAGAACAAAATCAAATAAATATTGAAATTCCGCTTAAACTTTTGCATTAGTATTTGGATTATAGTGAAACAGTGTGTGATATTATCACCATATCTCACACACTTTCTTTTACAGCCGCTAAAAGTTAGTTTGCAATTTGCATGATCCGGTTATCTTCAAAAAAGAAAAACAGTTCAGTTACCTTTTTATGTTTTACAACAATAGATCAGACACTGGTCCATATTACCTGGTTTGTCCATTGAAGTATTTGAATAACTATTTGCAACACGAGAATTAGCAACTATATATACAGATCACCAGTTTGTTTATTTGCATTTTCTCATCAAAGTGTTAACGTCTCATTCTTCTAAGATATATGTTAAAAATAATTTACTTACGTACACTAATAATTACTTACTACATGATTGCCTTGTAGGAAAAAAAAAGTTCCACGGTTGTATGCCATTTTTTTGTCGAAATTGGTTGTATATGCCATTTACTTGGTGTTTATTGATTTGAATTACCCTTGCAAGAAAAATGTTTCAAGTGACATTTTGCCCCCGAAATCACACTTCATTCGCCATTTTTTCATCATTATAGTCGGTTTTGATTTCCACTTCAGTTTTAACTGTCTAAATTTGTAAAGCTAGTAATATATTTTTTTAAAAAAATAATAATTCATTTTCACTAGTGAAGCACTTGTCAAAACTATTTCATTTTGTGCAAACGCATGATTTTTCGTGTTTTGTTCCAAAAAGATGGATATATGTATAAGTCTAGTGAAATACAATGGATGGATATTAGCAAACAAAAAACAATGGATGAATTCTATATAACCCATGAAGCTTGAACGCATGAGTAATTTAATGCTTTGTTATAGTGTCTATTACACCACGAGGTCCACGAGATATCAACTCAACTCATCTTTCATGATAAAAAAAAAATAGATATCAACTCATTTTGATGTATACTAATTTGCTTATTAATATCCAGTTGCATTGTTTTTTTTTTTTTTTTTTTGAAACTGTCCAGTTGCATTGTTTACAACATTGTTCCCTATACTTTGACTACTGCACTATAAGAAAATAGTGTTACTGCTTAAGGAGAACTAGCGAGAGATGACAATGGAATAAACTAAATTGTTCTTTCGTAATTGTGCTTACGTTGAATATGAACTCCATAAATTACAGTTACCTGCCAGATTGTGGCATACTGCTGGCATACGCATTTTATTTCGTAGTTTTATTTAAGCAACGTAGGATCCTTCTTTATACATATATTTTGAGGGGAAAAAAACTAATTTTCATAATATCCATACTGGAGGCAGATTGAGGGAGAGAAAACGTCAGTATGACGTAAGCATGTGGTGTGATGAATAAAGACAAAATATCACACATGGAAGAAGATGAACATGTAAACTGTACTGAGGATTTGAGAGAGCAATGAAAAAGTTGAGAGAAGCTGTCACGGAGACAAACCCACACGGCCACTCTCTTGGCCTTCCATCATCCCATCATCGACTACTTCTATTTCCTTAACTTTTTATATTTGAACCGTTGAATTTTATGGTCTCTTACTCTTTTAAGACGAAAATCATCAAATCCTATTTTTGATAAATTCAATTACTAAGAGTAAGACTAGATTATTCAATGATGATAAGAGTAACGTGTAACATACCCAAATATATTATGCATTATAATGCGAAATGATCAAATATAATGATGTTTGTATCTTTAAAAGAAAAACTTATTACTAAATCATGCATTTTTATATGACAAACGAAATATTACACCGACAAAAGAAAAACTCGAAACTATCAAATATTTTGTTCATAAAAACTACCTCACGATAAATATATCATTATATGGATTTGTGTTCCAACCCTAATTCCCATGATCTCTTATTTTTTTATTAAAAAAAAATAGAAATGAGCATTCTTTTTGTCGGCATAAACTAACATTCTGAGAACGCCATAAACTAAACAAGAATTGTAAAATATTGATCTTGTTCATTTTGTTTTAGTCCGGTTTGTATTCGACAAAAAGAAAAAAAAATGCATTCTGAGAACGGCATAAACTAACATACAGTATTAGAATACAGTAGATAATTTCATAATGTTTAAAGTTAAAAAGTTATGGGTAACAAGATAAAGGTAAATGTTAAATATAGTCCCAAACGATCATCATCATAACTACATCGACCAAAGGATATAATTGATTAGATCTCGACCGTCATAATTTTTTGGTTTGTAAAATATTTGTGTACACACACACTAATGCCCTCAACTATTCTTGTCGCCTCAGTTTGACGTTTATCTCCCAGCTCTTCTTTTTAAGTCAACCTCTAAGTGATTTAATCGTTTACACGTTCTATGTTTTGCTTTAGTATTTTATTCTTTTGACTTCGGCTTATCCTTTAATTGAAGAGAGTAATGTACCCAACGAAGATCCAAATTGGCGAAATGTCCATGGTTATGGATAATCCAAAAAGGAGTAATCTTTTGACACTGTGCGGACGAAAATGCCCTCTTACTTTATCGAAAACATGTAACTTTAGATTTAACGGATACACATTATGTTAACTGAACACTAAGAGATATTTATCAGTTTTAACATGATATAAAAATTGTTAGCAAATTGACAAAATTTTAACATGCTACAAATTTTGTTATCGGGTTATGTATATTTATTAATGTGTTAAATAAATCGCTAACANAATTATCTATCAAATAGCCGTAATCCTATTTGTAACAGCTAACACTCTATGTATCGGTTACAAATTCATTAAAATATAATAATAACGGGTAAATAATGAAATAGTTGCTAACTTACATATTATCCAAATAAAAGAATGTATATTTCAAGATTTGAAATTAGAAATAATAGAATTAGTGTGAGATAATAACATTAGCAATTTGGGTGTCAAAAGAATCAGAGTAGAAAATAGAGATTTATGATGAAAAAATAAAAGCATAAATATGTTATGTGTGAGAGATAAAAAGATTAGAAGATATGGAAAAGAAGAGAGAGAGAATGAGATAGGGGTATAATGGTCAGACAAAATAGTTTCTATTTTGGAAGGTTAGATGGCAAATATGAGGTGTATTTAAGGACAATTCCACCAATTTCTGTTAATTGAATGTATATATTTGCAGGAATGTTTCTAGTCTTCTAGTTGTGCCAAAAAAATATAGAGTATTTGCACTCCCTACCCATAACATTTACCCTATTTGCAATCCATACCCTATTTCCCCCCATTTTTATTTCTTCCATCATCAATATTTTCCCCTAAAATTAAGGTATTCCACTTCTTTTAGTATTTTGAGCAAATTTACTCAAAAATATATGCATTCATAAATATAAGATAATATAGGGTTATAAGCCAAGATTATATTGGCTCTTGGCTATTACCATATTATAAAAAAATATATTAATTTCAGTGAGATGGATGGTGCAAATATATTAGACGAAATTGTGATGTATTATTCCAAGTAAACGTCAAATACGCATCACATTTGAAATGACTGGTCTTCATATATTTCCAACTATTATCAACTATTTTTACATATTTCCCGCGCTTCAAAACGATCTATATTATAGAAAATGATTTATTTCACAAATATAATTTAAATTTTCAATCAATTTCTGTCAGGTAATAAAAATAAACTTAATTTTGAAGAATTAATTCAGTTTATTAAATTTTGACTGACTGAAATTTGTGAAAATAGTAAATTGTAGTCAAAATTTAATATATTTTCTTAATATATGTGAAAGTTCCAAAACAAATACTATCTTTCAACAAGAAATAAATATATACTTAACTATGTTTAATATATACATGCATATAGATATAATCAGAAAATAATTTACATTTGTAAGTAACTTGGATGATAAATGTAAATTGCAGGAGAGTTTTAGGTATCAAGATATTTTACATGCTTTTAGAACACATAAAAAGGCGTATAATTTGCTCGAAGCCCTAGGAATCAACCGGTATATGTTGTTTATATGGATAAAAGATATTTAGTTTGGTTAGCAAAGTCATAATAAATTGTTGATAAAAAAATTGTAGTTAATTATTTTTTACCAAATTAAGGCGAGACTGTAAAAATGGTATATATTAGATGGGTAGATATTTCGACAAGAAGAAGCAAAGTCGTACCATTCATATTGACGTCAACGGTTATATGCCTTCGTGAATTATTAAATCAAAGAAAAGTTCACATCTTTGCTTACACCAATTTTAGTTTCTCCTTTCCATGATATGAATTCGCAATACATACACAAATTATTAATTATCAATGTATATGAACATAATAGTGCATAGGTCATAGCCAATTAGCCATGCATCGACCTGTTTTAAAAAACCAAAATAAAAGAAGCTCTTATAGGCCTACTATGTAGAAGTAAGACAAAATAACAGATAAACGAAGATGAAGAAGCGAAATTAAAATCAATTAGAATGTTTGACCAAAAAAATAAAAAATCAATTAGAATGAATGTCGAAGTTAAGCACTGAGAGTCAAACTCGAAATTCACTATAATAGTGAATACAAAACTCATTTAAACCAGTCATTCAATATATTGACCAAAACAATTAAGTCAACAAAATAAATATGACTAGTGAGAAATCAAAGGAAAGTAAATAAAGAAACGTCAAGCACATATCTTTTATAATTTATTCTTAGGTTCAATCCTAACCTCTAGGTTCACCGTCCTTTTATTATTATTTTTATTTATTTTTGTATTTTTATTTTTAAAAACATAATATAACTTTATAAGATTTTGTTTCCTTTTTAAAAAAGATATCAAATATGAAATAATATAATCCTATTGGATGGTGAACCTAACATAGAGAGTGAACCCAATAATAACTCATCTTTTATATCACTTAAAGAACATTTTTATTAATTAATCCTAACCTCCTTCATGTTTAACAAAAAAAATGTCATTTGGTATATATGAAAAAATTCAGAATGAAAAGCTATTTAATAGACGTGATTTCTCATCTATAGACACAATTGAGTTTAGCTATACGAGAATACAATGTATGGTTTTTGGCCAATGAGGACGAACTAGGTTAAAGCATCATAGAATGCATACCAAGGACCTTTCCTGAAGCACCTACCTTCATTTGTAGGGTGGATAGATCGTGGAAGAAGGACAATACCACAAGTGGAATATGATGGATCTTACAACCACAAGATAGATCAATAGATCAACTCGGGCTTCACAACTGCCATAAGCAAATATCGCCACTTCACACTAAACTAAAAAGTTTAGTCTGGCTGAAATGTTTATCTCGCTATTAACGGTATTGCAATTATTTTGTTAGTGGCTCCCAAGAGTTAGTCAAAATAATAGCTACATCTGAAGACTGACCAACTTTGCAACTGAATTAAAGAAGTTTAAACTCTATGCACGTCCTACCATGACAGGCAAGTAGTCTATAAGGACAGATCCAGTAACATCCAAGCAGACTTGTTGGCAAGACAAGCTCGAACAAGGAAGCATATTTTCTTTTATGTCAACACGTGTGTGCCACAGTGGACTGACACTCGCAACTCGACTTTCGCCGATTCATACTAAAATTCGTCTTTGTATCTCATCGTGACAAAATAAAACTTAAATGGTATCACTAGAGCTCTTCTCACAGCCTTACATTAAAGGTCTTCCCTTGCCTAGATTACTTATATGTAATATCATTACTCATTATAACTAGACGAAATTATACTATATACTAGGGTTAAATCCGCCCTACGGGTAGGTGAGCAAATTAAAAATCACAAATATTATATTTTAAATTAATCATATTTAAAAATTTATTGGTGACTGAAAATAATTAATTTTCAATATTTGTTTTTGTTGTTCTTGTTAGAAATTGTACATGCTTGTAAATTTTGTAATTAATGTAATTATTTTTTATTTTTATTTTTTGTTATGTTTTTATTATAAATTTTGTAATTAATGTATTTTTAGGTTTTTAGTTATTTATATTTTTTTGTTCTATAAATAATTAATTTTTTCTCTCGTAGTTGACCCGTGATTTGCATGAAATTTTTTTCTATTAGATATTTTGTTTAACACTTGTTTTTATTTTTAGATATTTTATTATCATTATATATGAATTATCTTATTTAATTACTATTTGTATCAGTTTCTATTAAAATTGTTTATTGCTTTGATATTCGATCTTACTCTCGTTGCAAAAACTTAATTTCATAATAAAATTATTGAAATACTTTAGTGAGACTAAGACTATTTTTGTTTTGGAACTATATTTTGGTGCATTTATCTTATTTTAGATTATATAGTTTGATTTCTACGATTATTTTTATTTTATTTTATATAGCGTCTCTTTTTGTATGTTTACAAATAGTCTGTTTTAATTTTCACGTCCATATTAAATTTATGCTTGAAGATTTTAGGGAATTCATAACATACGATTTCTATTTTATAATATTTATTTAGATATATAATAATCTTTGATCTCTTGTTATCATAAGAAATTTTTTTTATAGCTTGTTCATTATTGTTTTATCTGTTATATATTATTTTATGTTTTCACTAATTATTATTTAAGTCTTCATTTTAATTATGTATTGTTTTTGGCTATAGGTTTTCATTAATTTCCTGTTAACAATTAGGTATCAAATTTTATCTCTATGTGTTTGTTAGATGCTAATTTTCCCAAATTAAAAGTTAGTAATGAATACATAATGCCTAATACTTATAAGTATAATTTAAGATTCCGGTAATATCACATTTATACTTCAGACAAGGTATGGGCCTAATAAATATTATTTTCTTAACTAAAGAGGTTTCATTATTGAACCGAATGGAGAAAGGGGCATACAACATCCGGAAATTGGGGTTGCTGCATGTTACATCGAATCCGCTCAACCTGTAGACTGACCTTTCGCTGAGATGCTTCATGAACATGAATTGAAGGTTCGCATTAACATAACCTTGAATAATCGTCGACTGTTAAAAAGGACAAACTATTTTTTTAGACAATCACAATGGAACCAATCGTCAACAAAAAGGAAATGCTTACATTCTCGTCGATGAGGAGCATGTCTAGACTCATGATTTCACCACCTTTCCTCACATTTCTGGCCTCCCAAAACCTCAGCAAGTGAACTTCGGTGGTGTTGAAGCAGCGCCCAACTTTTAAATCGGCAAGGAGGATGGAATAAATCACCATTATAGCAATCAAAAAGTTGAACAAACTTTTCTTCTAATACTCGTCGAAGCTGTGATGTTCATGTATGCAAAAGGGATATATATATATTATATATATATATATATACTCACACCTCTACATGGTTATTTTTGGGATGCGATAAAGTGGTTTCAATCATCCAGAGTAGGTTATATCACTTACAAAATAGAAGGAAAGAAGGTGCGAGTCAAGCGTGCGTCGAGACGTTATGATGAGTTGATAATTTATTCTGATATCTATAATCCTCGTTGGCTGATCTAGGGTCAAATGAAGTTGACAAACAAACCTATAGTATTAAAGGATCTCTATAATCCGAAAGTTTAAACGCAATCTACAACAATAAAACCTCATAACAAATATGCATTTTTTCAATAATATATTTTTTGCTAAAATAATATAATTTTTTTTTCTAAAACCCAACAAATAATTTCTTAAACTTTAATGATGTGACACATGATATTTTTGTAGTCCATAGAGAAAAAAAACTAACGTTATTATATATGATTTAGTATAAAACAAAAATTATTTTGTTTTACATTCATTAGCTAAACCCAAAATAACCAATTTTTTTTGTCTTAACTAAATACGAAATTTTATCTGGATTCATCTATTGTTTTAACAACCATGTTCTAAAATAATAGTTGAGCCATATATTTTAGAACATATTCATCCTGCAAACTAGACCAAATTAATATTAGATAATGTACATTACACTACGTTGCAAACTCGACATTTCAAATATCAATGACCACAACTTATTCATTCACCAAAACAACAAAAGTGCCATATGAAGACGATGACTACAATCAACGTGTAAACAGTTTTGCTAATGGCGTGAAAAAAATCTCTTGCTAACAATCAATGTTATTAATAATATATAACATTAGCATATACTCTGGAGTTATGTCAAAGACAAAGGAATCAATGACAAAAAAAATTATTTGTTATTAAAAATATATAACATTAGCATATGAACCAATGTCAGTAGCCCATCGTATATGTGGACAAGCATATCAGCATATGAACCAATCTACTAACCTAAGTATGAAATAAGACACTCTTGGGAACAAAATGACAAGAATTTAGGCATTTCATTTATTTTATATAAAAAAACAGCCACTTAAACATATAGGGTCATATTTACAACCAAAAGAGAGAAGGTTGACACTTTGCGATTTTTTTTTATAGATGCACCAACAAACTATTCCACAGATGCATTACCCTAAGCCAACTAATGGAATATTCCAAAATACTAGTGTATACGTCAAGTTTGAGGTATACACAAATATTTCAGAATTTTGAAAACACCATTGTTGACGCCGAACCATCATACCATCTTACATGCTTGGTTGTATCATACTATCCCCGGGTCACAAAAACTTCTAACTAACCCCACCTTCTCCTACCCCCTTCCCCCTCCCCCTAAGCCACTAATATTTTTTTATAGATGCACCAAAAAACTATTTCACAGATGCATTACCCTAAGTTAACTAATGGAATATTCCAAAATACTAGTGTATGCGTCAAATTTGAGTTATACACTAATATTTCAGAATTTTGAAAACACCATTGTTGACGCCAACCATCACACCATCTTACATGCTTGGTTGTATCATACTGTCCCCGGGTCACAAAAAATTCTAACTGAGCCCACCTTCTTCTACCCCTCCGCCCCCCGTTTTTCATAACCGACTTAGATGGGATGACGACAAGAGACCTTGTTATATCCCTCTCCTACTAAACAACTACATTTCCTACATTCTGCCTAAGATGACGCTGCAAAAGTTTACATATAATCAATTTACTTGTGAGACTATTCTACTGTAATGTTAAAGTATAGTTTATTATTTTCATAATCATTGAGTACCTTATCTTCTCTGGTTGATGGAATTCCCTTTTTATGTCTCCCTGACGCCTAACATCTGGAGGAAGCATATCTCTAAAAAAGGACTCCCTGATTTTTATTCTTCCAATAGATAGAACGGGGTAAATTATTTCTTCATACGCACTGTGCCACGTTTCAGCAAAGTATGCAGTTGCAACCATTGATTCTGTTGCGATATTTTCTCTGGATGCTGCTGCAAGTGCATGTGTACGAGGAATATACAGCTGCTGGAATGCGTTACAGGTGCATGTCCCACCAAGTAAGTTTACCATGTGAAAATGTCTTGAATTTGGAACTCAATTTTGCTAATTCCAGTCACATCAAAGGCTGTTGAAGCGTCATAGTTTGCTTCCACAATACTGCGTATCTTTGGTGTTAAGATCCCATTATGTTCCAAAGCTTTTGCACGTCTAATTGAAAACCAACTCATCAGTTTGGTTCGTATGTATTCACACATGGAGATCAGAAGGTATTTCCTTGCTTCTGTCAACATAGTTTCATGACTTAACAATATTGGAATCCATTATATTGAGCATGTCTCTTGGAAAATGTGCACGTGTCTAATGCTCGAACCCTAGATGCATGCAAACAAGTTAACGGTGTTATAATATTGTTATACAAATATAGTTCAGTATTATTAAATTATATACTACGTCCACAAAATAGCCAGCATATCCTGGGCTTACACGTTGTATGTCTAAAAACCTCTTATTGAACTCTGAGACAGTGTATGCACATGATGCAGCACCCATCAGGAAAGCAACTCTTTTGGATTTGAATATACTCTTAATGTTCCTCCAAAGATGCACATTGCACGCCGCATGATATGCAGCAGGGTAAACTTGTTGTCACATTTATTGCTGTTAAACTATACTATTATCAAAAATAGAATGGACTGTGTTCCAATTAAGTTATTTTATCTTTCGATTGCATTGTATATGCTCCCATATCTGTCTCAAAAGAAGACAAGATTAGCTAAATCAGCAACAAATAATTTTCGTTGGTTTAGAAACCACTCTCACGCGTCATCGTTCTCACTGTCTACCACACCAAAAGCTAAGGGGAATATTTAAAAATTCCTCTCTTCCGCAGAAATTGAGAGTAGGCAGCCCCCATATCGGCCTTTTAGACTTATCCCATCGATCAAAATTACTTTTCGCATGAACCTGTATCCTTTTATTGATGCACCAAAGGTAATGAAGGAATACTTAAATACCATGTTCCCTTCCACATTCTCTTACTTATGCAGACTGTATATGGATCCTAGATTTGTCGTTTAAAGAAAGCCTATATACGCTGGCATAAGTGCATAACTGCCCGCTACATAACCTAACATTAATTCCATTGTAACTTCCCGATTCCTCCATGATTTCCAATATGATAGATTGACATGGAACTCGTCTAGCATCATTTTCCTTATTGTAGCCAGAGATGGTTCTATCTTTATCCAATGAAACGTGCTTGGATGAGCTCCCCAATGACTTGGGTAGTTGCCAATTTGTTGTAGTTATGCCAGGCATCAAGGGTGCAACAATGCTTAAACGTTGCATGTATTATCTGGAAAGTTCCAGTGCCATCAAACATAACTTCGTAAACTCTCCAGGGACAGTCAATAGCAACACATATTAGCACCATAAATTTTGGTGTTGCATGTATTACAATTTTTATCTTGATCACTTTTCATCTTGAACACCTGCCCGACATACAAGTTATCGCCTTTCTAAAAGACTGCATCTAACGCTGCATCCAAGCCTGTATTTAATTAGCTTTGCATGTTAGTTCTATTTAATAAGTAACTCTATACTATTATGTATATACTATAGTATGGAATGGACAGCTAACCTTCATTTTGATAACTGTCAATAATTGGCGTTGCATCGCGGCCAAAGAGCACATTTTGTGAGCTTTCGTCATTAAGTATATACTGAAGTGCACTTTGGAACCTATTCCAATGTGTTATAGTGCAGTGGATGAGTTCACTGGAGGAGCTTCTGGTTCAATATCAGTTTCTACCATGTTGATTTCTTCTTCTTCAGTTATGTTCGTAGGCACTAACCTCTCAACGGGAGTTGAATTTCCTGAAAATAGATGCCTTCTAACACTTCTACTGCTTTTACTTTCCTCACAAATGTTGTTTTTTGTTCGTAATATATGGGGTACAAGAAAGGCATCATCATCACTGTGGTGGTGGCGCTCCATTGCAACTGTTTTCCCTACACCCCGATCAGCCGGTTGTGGTGGTGGACTCGCTAGCCCAATGGTCGATTTGGTTTCTCATATTTTTATTTCATTACCACATCGTCGAATAGTCTGTGTGCATTCTACACGGAAACTGTCTCCGACATCATTTTACGGGTTGACATGTCAGTGGCATAACAGACATAGCAAATTCTAGCCATCCATCGTCGGCCATTGAATCGTTGTCAGTCGTATCATCTTCGTTGTCATTAAGGCCGGCTTGATCAGTGACATTCGCATGGTGTGGCTTACGGTGAGCTGTTTTAATCCCATTGGTACATTTCGTGGTTGTGACAAATAGGTTAACCTTTTCAATTTGACGCCTCATTTGCACAAAAACCTCAACCTCATGATCGTCTGAGATAAACTGGCGGGTAGAGCCATCACCATCATTTATTTGCATCCACGTTGAAAATAGATAAGATAATTTGATTTGTGTAGTTGTACGAGAAATGTCTAGACTATCTTTCACCATCTTAACTAAAGTATCATATTTCATTCCACTTCTTAACGTTAAGAAGTTTCTCCACTCTTCAGATAGCGTATCAAATACCCATTTGCCATTCACTTCCTCACCCAGTTTCCAGTTATCAGCTTAAGAATGTTTTGTTCTTATATATGCAGAACATAAATATATAAGGTTTTAGTTAATCGGTTCAACATGTAGGGCCTAGCAAAATAAGTTTTTAGCACGGACGTTTCATGATATTTTTCCTTATAAATGGTAATATAACAACATCATTAGTACTTTTTTAACATTTATGGTTTTCCGATTGTTTTTACATAGAAAGTAAATTCTATTTAAATGTACCCAATATTTAGTTATTTATAGAATGATTTATTTATGTTAACTTCTGAT